TCTGTATAAGTTGGCATTACCTCTTTGGAAAGTTATCTTGCAAAACCTACACCACCCTGTATAAGGTTATGGGTGTATTTCCATGGATATTTTTAATGCCAAAATGTGGAGACAAAGTGGCACAATATGGAAAAAAAGTAAATGTCCATAAATAAAGAATTGATTGACTAATTTATGGAATGCATGCATTGTGAAGTATTGTGTATCAGTGAAACAACACAAAAGGATGTCCAGACACTCCTGTTGTTCCAGCGCTGTGGGAGGCCGAGGGGGATGGATCACCTGAGCTCTAGAGGTTCCAGACCAGCATAAGACCAGCATGAGTCTGAGTGAGCCAGAGTGAGACCCTGTTCCTACCAACAAAAAAAAGTTGGGTGTTGTATCTGGCGCCTGTAATCCCAGCTACTTGGGAGGCAAAGGGCAAGAAAATCGCTAAAGGAAGAAAGAAAAAAAGCCAAAAACTTCAAACTAAGATAAGTGAAAGCCAGCTGAAATTGAAAGCAAAAAAAAAAAAGTATTATTGAGTGGCTCTGTGCCTGTAGCTCAAGCAGCTAAGGCACCAGCCACATACACCAGAGCTGGCAGGTTTGAATCCAGCCCAGACCTGCTAGACAACGACAGCTACAACCAAAAAATAGCCGCACATTGTGGCGTGTACCTGTAGTCCCAGCTACTTGGGAGGCTGAGGCAAGAGAATGGCTTGAGCCCAGGAGTTTGACATTGCTGTGAGCTATGATGCCACAACGCTCTACTCAGGGTGACAGCTTGAGGCTCTGTGTCAGAAATAAATAAATAAGTAAGTGAAGTATTACTGAGTAAGGAAAGCAAGATTCAGAAAAGTGGTAAATGTTCATTGAAACAATGACAGGGGCAGTGCCTGTGGCAGGAATAAGGCACTGGCCCCATATGCTGGAGGGGGTGGGTTCAAACCCAGCCCCAGCCAAAAAAAAAAAAAAAAACCCCACAGAAACAATGACAGAAAGGCCATGTGTATGATATGTGAGTAGGGAAAAATGTTGAAGAATATGTCCAAGTTTTATAATGTTGGTGATAAATTCTGCTTTTGTATATTTAAGGAAGTTGTTTCTTTTTTTTTTTTTAAGAGACAGAGTTTTAGTTTGTCGCCCTCGGTAGAGTGCTGTGGAGTCACAGCTCACAGCAACTTCCAGCTCTTGGCCTTTGGCTATTCTCTTGCCTCGGCCTCCCACGTAGCTGGGACTACAGGTGCCTGCCACAACGCCCAACTATTTTTTGTTGCCATTTGACTGGGGCTGGGTCCAAACCTGCCACCCTCAGTATATGGGGCTGGCGCCCTAGTCACTGAGTCACAGGCGCCGCCTAGAAGCCTTTATTTTCATTTTGTTTTTGTAAGATGGTGCCAGTCATTTCAGGTTGACAGTGCTATTTCAGTATTGTAAAGACGTCCCACTGTTTTAGGCTTGCATCATTTTCAGTGTGAAGCCTACTGTTATTTCTCATTTCTCTGTGCAGTATGGGTCTTTGTTAGCTGCTTTTGACATTCTGTTTCATTTCTTTTTTTCTGTTCAGCTGTGGCTGCAGACCTTTTCTTTTATACTAGTTTTGAGCAGCTTGTTTTTGATGTGCCCTGGTGTGTTCTGGGCATGTTTTTTGACTTTGACTTGCTTGTTGAATCTGTAGGGTTATAGTTTTTGTCAAATCTTGAACATTTCTCCTGTCTGCTTCACTGTTGCTCTGATATAATTTTTAAAATCTTCTTTGTGTGTTTTAATTTTGATAGTTTCTTTTGCTATGCCTTTAACTTCAATATTCTTTGCAGGGTCTAATCTGCTGTTGATCTTACCACTGTACTTTTCACCTCAGACGTTGTGTTTTTCATCTGTAGAAACTTGTCTCTTTCCCCCATCTTTTGTGTGTGTGCTCTATTCTATCACCTGTGTCATTTCTAGGTGTCTTCTTTTTCTCCTTACTGTGGGTCACATTGTCCTTCTTTGTATATCTATAATTTCTTTTTTGAGACAGAGCCTCAAGCTGTCCCCCTGGGCAGAGTGCTGTGGCATCACAGCTCATAGCAACCTCCAACTCC